GAGCTGATTGTTGAGGTTACCAACTGGCAACAGTAGTTGAGTAGAGCAAGGGAGGCGGCCATAAGTGGTTACATTGCTCACTTTATGAGACGACTGAGTATGATGGCCTTGGCTTATATTGGAGGAAGGTCGCATACAATGAAGTCTTCGGAAAACTTGTTGTGGTGCATCCCCAACTGGAGTTGGCTACTTTAAAAGAAGAATTCCTTCCAGTCGAACCATCCACTCCTGTCGTCGAAGCTGAAGATTCAGTTGAGGAAGTGGACATTCAAGGGGAGCCTCAGTAGGACGCTGCCACCGTTTAGACATAAGCTAGCAATATTTTTGTAACAGCTTTCCCATTTTTAATGATTTTGGTTATGTAAATGAACCTTCTTTACTGACATTGTATCTGCTTTCAATGTCCTTTATTGTTGATTATTACATGTGCTCGCCATAGTCAACCTCGAATTCTAACGTATGAGCTCACCATAATCGAATTAATAATGTATGGACTTGCCATACCTAATTGCCATACCTCAACTTGGCCATTCGCCTCGGGGTGGTGAGGGGAAGAAAAATGCTTGCTTAATTCCTAGTTCGTCGCATAAGTCTCTGACATTTTTGTTGTCAAATTGTCGCCCATTGTCTGTTAGGAGGGAATGTGATTCCGAACCGACAAATGATGTTCTTCCACATGAACTTGGAAGTGTTCGTTTCAGTTACTTTTTCCAATGGTTCAGCTTTGACCTACTTAGTGAAGTAATCAATGAAGACAATTGCATAATTTGCACTCCCTTTCCCTTTGGCATAGGGCCTATCAAATCAACCCTCACGTGGCAAACGACCAGGGACTGGATACCACAGTTATCTCTTGTGACGTTTGCCTCTGGATGGATGAGAAACGCTGACATTTGTCGCATCTTCTCACAAATTGCACCGCGTCTTTTTTTCAACATTGGCCAGTAGTATCATTGCCTGTGCACTTTCTGAGCCAGTGCTAGGCTCTCCTGTGGCTACCAAAAATTCCTGTATGAATTTCTCACAGAATATAATTGGATTCTTCTTCCTCCGATGCATTGCAGGAGTGGGGGATGAAAAGCCTATCTTCTAAAGCACTTATTCATGGAGCACATAGTGGGCAGCTCTACACCTGAGTTTGTAGGCTTTTCCTTATCCTCTAGCAAAGCCTGATCCTTGAGGTAGGCAATGATCGGTTGCATCCACTGTGGGGTCCCTTCAATCCACATCACCTCATCTCATTTAGACGTAAAGGCTTTATGGTGGTATTCAACTGACACAATTTTAAGCAACTCTAAGTCCTTGATGCTGGCCAATTTTGATAAAGCGTCGGCGTTCATGTTCTCAGCCCTTGGAATCTGAGTTAGCTCAAGCTTTTCAAAAGAGAGGAGCAAATCCATCACCTTTTAGAGGCATGCTGCCATGCCTTTATCCTGGCTGCAAAATTGCCATTTACTTAGCTTACCACCAGCTGTAAGTCGCTGCAAACTGCCATGTTCTTAACCAGCATCTCTCTTGATAATCTGAGGCCTGCTAGCAATGCCTCGTCTCAGCTGTGTTGTTGGAGGTTTTGAAACCGAACCTCACAGCACAATTAAGTTTATGGCCTTCCGGGCTCTCCAGCACTAGTCTGACTCCGAAGCCCATTTCTCGAGAAGACCCGTCAACAAATGGTTTCCAAGTTGGGGGGTCTGTTGGTTACATTACCACGTTGATATATATTGCCTCAGTGAATTCCGCTATGAAGTCTGCCACTACCTGGCCTTTCACCGAGGTCCTTGGCTGATATAAAATGTCGAATTCACTCAACTCCACTACCCATCTCAGTAACCTACCCGAAGCATCCAGTCTTTGAAGCACCTGTTTAAGGGAAAGACTCATCAACACGCTTATACCGTGGGCCTGGAAATAAGGCCTCAGCTTCTTGGAAGCGACCATAAGAGACAAAGCAAGCTTTTCCATATCTGTGTAGCGTGACTCAGCTGGCAAAAATGGCATTGCTCACATAGTAAACAAGGAGTTCCCTACCTCATTAGTACTGAACTTACAACCTCCGCGCTCACGGCCAAATACAAAACCAACGCTTCTCCTGCCTTGAGCTTCGAGATGAGGGAGCTTGCTCCAAGTGCTTCTTCAACCCTTAGAAAGCCTCTTCACACTCCTCATTCCATTGGAACCTCTTTTCTCCTTTCAGGACTTTGAAGGATGGGAGACACCTATCTGTTGCTTTGGAGATGAAGCGGCTCAATGTTGCTAGCCTACCCATCAAACTCTGCACCTCTTTGAGCTTACAAGGGGGTTTCATGTCCAGTAGGGCTTTGATTTTTGCAGGGTTTGTTTCTATGCCCCGCTGGTTGACCATATAGCTGAAGAATTTTTCGAAAGCCACACCAAAAGCACACTTTAATGGGTATAGCTTCATCCGATACTTTCTTAAGATTTTGAAG